TTGATTCTTGATTTTAATTCTTGCACCAAAGGAGTCTCATTAAGGTAGTTGAGGCCTAATCCCACATGATGGAGAATAGGGCCTACTTTTTCTTCTATTAGATGCAGGGTCTCTGGTTTTATTCCTAGGTCCTTGATCCATTTTGAGTTTTGTGCACGGTGAGAGATAAGGGTTATACAATCAATCAACAAATATATGAAAAAAATGTTCATCATCACTAGCAATTAGAGAAATGACAATCAAAACTACTCTAAGATTTCATCTCACTCCAGTCAGAATGGCAGCTATTATGAAGACAAACAACAATAAATGTTAGCGAGGATGTGGGGAAAAAGGACACACTCATACATTGCTGGTGGAACTGCAAATTGGTGCAGTCAATATGCAAAGCAATATGGAGATTTCTTGGAAATTTGGGAATGGAACCATCATTTGACCCAGCTATCCCTCTCCTGGGTCTATACCCAAAGGACTTAAAAACATCATAGTACAGGGACACAGTCACATCAATGTTTATAGCAGCACAATTCACAATAGCTAAACTGTGGAACCAACCTAGATGCCCTTCAATAGGCGGCAATAGATGAATGGATTAAAAAAAATGTGGCATATATACACAATGGAATATTACTCAGCAATAAAAGAAAATAAAATCATAGCATTTGCAGGTAAATGGATGGAGTTAGAGAAGATAATGCTAATTGAAGTTACCAATCCCAAAAAATCAAATGCAGAAAGTTTTCTTTGATATAAGGAGGCTGATTCATGGTGGGGTAGGGAGGGGGAGCTTGGGAGGAATAGACTCTAGATAAGGAGGGGGGGAGGGGGGATGGGATTAGATATGATGGTGGAATGTGATGGACATTATTATCCAAAGTACATGTATAAAGACATGAATTGGTGTGAATATACTTTGTACACAGAGATATGAAAAATTTTGCTGTATATGTGTAATAAGAATCGAAATGCATTCCATTGTCATATTTAAATAAAAATATTAAAAGAAAAAGAAAATATGGTCTTTGAATTTCTATTGCTCCTTCATCAAAAATCAGTTTACTATATTTATATATTTACATGGTTTTCATTGTGGCTCAGTGGTTGAGCACTTGCCTCGCATGCATGAGGCACTGGGATCGATCCTCAGCACCACATAAAAATAAATAAATAAAATAAAGATCTTTTGTCCATGTAAAACTAAAAAAAATTTTAAAAAGAAATTTATACATTCAAGTTTATCAGATCTATGGTGAAGACTTGTTTATGGTATTCTTTTATCTTTTTAAAGTCATGGGATCTGTACTGATATTTTCTTTCACTTCTGATAAGGTAAAATTCTGTCTTTTTTTTTCTTAGTTACCCTGGTTATTGAAATCAATTGTCTTAGTCTTTCTGAACTAGGTTTTGGTTTTTTTTTTTTTTTTTTTTTTTTTTAATGACAATTCTTTTTTTTTTAATTTTAATTTTTTAGTTTTTTCGGCAGACACAACATCTTTGTTTGTATGTGGTGCTGAGGATCGAACCCGGGCCGCACGCATGCCAGGCGAGCGCGCTACCGCTTGAGCCACATCCCCAGCCCCTAGGTTTTGGTTTTGTCAACTATATTAATTCCTTGCTTTCAATTTCATTAATATCTACTCTAATTTTTATTATTTCTTTTCTTCTATTTACTTGGGCTTTAATTGCTCCTTCTTTGGACTCTCCTAAAATGGAAGCCTAGACTATTGATTTTATCTTTCTTCTTTTATAATATATGCATTTAATGCTATAAATTTCTATCTGAGGATTGTATTCACTACAATCTACATATCTTAAATTGTAGTTTAATTTAGCTCAAGATATTTTAAAATTTTCTTTTAGATTCTCTGTGATCCTTGAGTTATTTTAAAGTGTACTATGTGATCTCCAAATCTTTGAGGGATTTTCTAACCATTTGTTATTTATTTGTAGCTTAATATTGTGGCCAGAGAGTATAGATTGTATGATTTCTATTTTTTAATGTATTAAGGTGTAGTTCACAGACCAGAATTTGTTTTATATTTTTGTGTACTCCATTTAAACTAGAGAAGAATGTGTATTCTGTCGTTCATTGCATTAAAGAGTGTATAGAGAGCAATTATTTCCAGTTGAGTCACAGTTTTTCTGAGTTCAGTTATGCTCTTACTGTATGATAGATCTGTCATTTTTTAAAGAGGGATATTGGAATATCCATAATCTATTTCCTCTTGCTGCTTTATCAGTTTTGCCTCGTGTACATTAATACTATCTCATTTGGCAATATACCCGAGGACTGCCATATCGCTGGAGAATTTATCTTGCCATCATACATGAAGTTCCCCTTATTCCTCATAATTTTCCTTGCTCTATAGTCTGCCCTGTCCAAAATGAATAGAGCTATTCTAGTTTTCTTGGATTTGTATTAGCGTGGCATATCTTTCTCTTTTTATCTGTATTTTCTTTGTTTACTTATTATGAATGACATTACTTCAATTGATACATATTTCATTCCTTTTCAGTATACACAAAATTTAAATCTAAAATGAATGCTGCAAATGTCAATGTTTAGGAACATTAGGAAATTACAGACAAAATGTGTCTAGCAATCTTCCCAGCATTTTAGGAAAAAAAAAAGTTGATTAAAAACTCAAGGAGCAGAAGGGGGCAGTAAAACTCAACAGAATGTTCTGAAGATTTTTAAATATTCTTTATTTTCCCTTCATACTGAAAGTTTCCCAACAAATTTGAGATCAATAAAAGAAGTCTTATACAACAGATACATACATGTGCCTAAAATATACACAGAAACACCATATATATACAAAATTGAGAGCTATATTTTTTATATAACAAAACCTTACCCTGTGTGGTACAAAATAATCATTGTGCTTTTCCATATAAAATATGTTTAGCCGTCTTGAATTGATTTGGGATATTCAATATGCCTTTTGTGACCAGCATCTCAAAATGTACCTATTCATTTCATTTTATCTGTGTCACACTTGTTAAATTACATAATGACCTTTCCCTTTTTTTCCCCAAGCCCATATTTGGACTTCCTTTCAACACTGAGTCTTGGTTTCTTCTAGAGCTTTTTTCTTTTCTTTTTTCTTTTTTTCTTTTTTTTTTTTTGTAGAGTGGGGGTGGGATTGAACCCAGGGGCGATTTACCACTGAGCTATCTGCCCAGCATTTTATTTTTCATTTTGAGACAGGGTCTGGCTAAGTTGTTTAGGAAAACTCACTAAAGGGTTTTAGTTAAACCCTTTTGCTTAGGGTTTAACTAAATTGCTGAGGCTGACCTTGAACTTGTGATCCTCCTGCCTCAGGCTCCGCAGCTTCTGGGTTTACAAGAGTGCCCCACCCTAACAGGCAGGGTAAGGCTTCTTACAGGCATCTAATCAAGATAAGATTAGTAGCTTTAAAACTGAAAATTTAATTTAAAAAAATAACTTTTTAGTAGCTGCAACCTTATTCATTTAAAATTAGGATGAAAAATAGGAATTTTTTAAAGGAATTATTAAAATAAATGTTCTGTGCACTGGTTGAAATTTTATATAGGAATCAGTGCAACAAATAAATGGGGTGCCACAATGGGGAGCTCCAATATGACTGGAAGAGTACACAGGTTTTCTGGATGGGATAGGATTTTAGTCGTTTGTGTCTCATTGTAGCATCAGATAATGTGTTCATTAAGCAAAATGGTAAAACAAACAAAAACATTTTCCTCTCTTAAGACTTCTACAAATCAATGAATCTGGTGTAATTTGGATTTCGGGTTTTTTTCAATCTTTTTCTATTCATCCTAAGAAAGTAGGGCTTAACTGAATTTGTTGTTTTCTACCTATTTTGGTTTAATACTTCAAACTCACATACCTCTCTTTGACCACCAAAGATAAATAGTAAGGAAAAACAAGGGAAAATGAAATTCAAAACTGTCAAAATCACCTTTTTTTTTTTCATCTAATACATTTCTCATCCAACTATGTTCCAAAATGAGGTTTTAAAATTAACTCTAATAAGCCCAGACAATTAAAAAGCAAATGAAAGTTATGTTTTCTTTGATCCATGGTCACAACTCATCAACTTTTTATTGGGAATTGCTATGAAAAGCTGGTGACAGAAATGGTGAAAAAACATCAGTAAAAGGAGAAAAAAAAATACCTTCAAGCAAATGCTTCCTGCACTTAGCATTCCTGCAGATTTGGGGTATAACTGTTTCCATTATCCATTAGAAGGCAGGAAATGTTATGCTGGGAAACCCTGGAGTTCATGTGGACTATTATTTACCCGGTAATTGATTAGGAGTAGTGAAATTTTTTTCCTTTCTCCCCTCTTTTCAAGAAGCAAGGGAAGAAGCCTTATTTTAAAAAGAAATTTAGGTAGAAATTGGATCTTCGGACACTTAGCCTAGCTATTACATTCTGTTCAACATAACAAAAATAAAAGGTACTTATGAATGTGCTCCACATACAATGGTTAAGCTTGGTCAATAAACAGCATGAGTCGTGTCATCCTTTCTTAGGTTCCCCCAAAGACTAGAGACCTGGGCAAGGGAGAGGTGATCCCCTGCGCTCTTGGGCTTCGGGCGCTCCGGTTCCCCAGGGGAAGCCGCGTCCTCCTCTGGCTCCCGCATCCCGTCCAAGGCGAACGGTCACAAGCGCTCGGTTCAAAACCGGAAAAAAGGAAAGGAACGTGGCCAAGCCCCCGGGGGGCGGGGGGCCGAGGACACCCCGGAGGTTGAAAGAATAGGAGACGAGGGGGGACAGTTCGCTTCGCACCCACCTTGGGGCGGCGGAGGGCAGCTTCGCGGGTTTCCGATTTTTTTTTTTTTTTTGCGTGAGTAAAACTCCTGACCCACCCGGGTTTACGCAACTTTTTTAAGTGCAGAGGGGAAAACGGCGGTGGAGAGTAAGACCAGGCGATGGAAAAAGTCCGTATGACGTCACGTGGGCTTGGTTTGCAGGCATAAAAGGGAGGGTCTCTCCGCCAGCGTCCAGTTGTCAAACGACTTGAGCACTGAGCGTCAGCACTCCCGGGAACTCCGCAGCGGCGCCTCCCGCAGGGCCACCTCCGGACGACAGCCGACCAGACAGCCAAGCTCCGCCCGCCGCGCACCGCCCCGCCCTCGGCCACGATGCTCCGGGCCGCTCTGCTGCTCAGCGCCGCCTTGGCCATCAGCCACGCAGGTGAGTACCGTGGCCTGCCCGCACCCAGGCTGAGTTTCCGCTCAGACCTCGGTCCATCTCGGCAGGCCGGCTCCTGAAGAGACGCGCTGGGTGAATTTGAACTTGAGTCCAAAAGAACTGGGAGGCTATCCCCGTTTTGTCACCCAATCTGATCTCATGCACCAGCTCCTGAACCGGTCTAAGACTCGCTCTCACCCACTAGATAGGAATAGAGAACCTAATGTGCAGGTTGTCATCTTAAGATACCTGTGAAACGTGTGTGTGTGCCACCTCTTGTTACCAAACAGCAGGCATTGTGTTTTTGTGTTTTCTTTCTTTCTGTTTTTGACTGAGGATTGAAGCCCAAGGGCGGCTTAACCACTGAACCATAGGATGCTTTTTTTCCCCCGCTAAATTGCTTAGGGCCTCGCTAAATTGCTGAAGCTGGTTTGGAACTTGAAATCCTCCCGCCTCAGCCTCCGGAGCTGCTGGGATTAAGGCGTGCACCACTGCGCCAGGCAGGCCAGCAACCATTGTTTTAATTAATACTCTGTTCAGTGCTTTCTGGCCCCAGGGAAACTCAAATTATGTTTTTAAAACAAAACATTTAAAAAGTAAAAGCTGTTTTGACTTTGAAAAGTTTGCTAAATTTCAATTAATCTAGCCAGGAGCAAGCCTCTAATGCTAGAGGTTCGAGAGGATGAGGCAAAAAAGATCGCAAGTTCAAAGCCAGCCTCAGCAATTTTTCTAAGGACTAAAGCAACTTAGTGAGACCCTGTCTCAAAAAATAAAAACAAGACTGGGGATGTGGCTCAGTGGTAAGCACCCCTGGGTTTAATCCATGGGACTACCACTACTAATAGTAATTAAAGTACTAGATCCAATCCATTTGAAAGTGCTGCTTTAGCTTTTTAGAAACACTAGTTTGAAAGTCTAAAAAGTTATTATAAAGAAACCTCAGAAATGTGAGTTATCAAGTTGAGCAATCTGTTACTCTTATTTAGAATGATAAATTAGTATTTCTAGCATAACCATTCAGTGAGAAGGGTTTAAAAATTGTATTCCATGACTACTTATTTCTTGATAAGATAAATATATTTCTTATATTTCTTATTGTAAAGATGCCCCATAGTTAAAATATGAAACATTTAAGTCAAGGTTAAGACACTGAAGAATGATTGATGTGCTGTCCTTACTTTTATATTGTAGCAAATCCTTGCTGTTCCAACCCATGTCAAAACCAAGGTGTATGTATGAGCACAGGATTTGACCAGTATAAGTGTGACTGTACCAGAACAGGATTCTACGGTGAAAATTGTTCAACACGTAAGTTTCCCCTTGAGTTTCTTTATGTGGGTTGGGATTACATACAGGTATCATTATAGATTTTTGTCTTATGATGAGTCTCATTTCTCTCTCTGCTCTTTTACAGCTGAACTTTTGACCAGAATAAAACGACTTCTGAAGCCCACTCCAAACACAGTCCACTACATACTTACCCACTTCAAGGGGGTCTGGAACATTGTCAATAATATTCCCTTCCTGCGAAATTCAATCATGAGATATGTGTTGACTTGTAAGTACAAATCTCTAAGGTTTTCAGCTTCCTCAAAGAAACATACTTTATAATAATGAAGATTACTAAACCCAATCCAAAAACCTATTTCCAACCTGTCAAAATGACTTTAAATGTAACTTTTTAGTTTGTCTGCTTAAAGATCAGAAATATTGACATTTGGTCCCATCTAGTTGATACAGTTCTGTCCTGTAGTCAATTCTACTCAGAAGCCTCCATCCCTCTGTTTCAGCCAGTTTGTATAGTTTATTTGTTATTTGTTTATTGGATGTATATAGGACATAGAGGTATCCTAAACATTCACATAAGTGGTTAATTTGGATTTGGTTCAGAAAGAAATTCTATACTTCTGAAGTAGTGCCATGCACAACTATTCTTATTATAGGTCTCTTGAGCAGAGAATTGAAGCTACTGGAGAAAAAAGATTGCTAGAGCATAGTACTCTTGTAAAGCATGTATATTTTAGTAAAGATGCATTTTCACTGGTAGTTACACTGAAATGCAGTGATTTTTAGAGTATCTTTGGAATTGAATTTAATTTCTGTACTACCTTCCACATTTCGAAATAAAAATGAACATTGATTTGTTGTGCATATGGAGACCAATAAAATATTTTTTTTCTTTAACTTTCAGCCAGATCACATTTAATTGACAGTCCACCAACTTACAATGTGCACTATGGCTACAAAAACTGGGAAGCCTTCTCTAACCTCTCCTACTATACCAGAGCCCTTCCTCCTGTGGCAGATGACTGCCCAACGCCCATGGGTGTGAAAGGTGGGTGAGAATAAATGATTATGGATGCATTAATTGTAGTAGAGATTGGATCACTACCTATATAAAGTTCAAACCTAAACTTCATTAAGAACAGTATAATTTTTTTTTCCTTTTATGTGGATAACCATAGAACTTTTTTTTTTCAAAAAAATATGAATCTGTAAACTTCCATAAAATTAAATGACTATTTTGGTATAATGTCCTAATAATTTTAAAATGTTATTAAAACCAAATTAATGCTAGTTTAAATAGAAATAAGTTTTTCTCAAATATCTTAGAATTTTCATCGATATTATGGTCCTCTTGACAATTGTATGTACCCTGTAAGTGAATGTCCTCAAAGTGATAGTCATGTCTGTTCCCTTTAATATGTAGATGGATTTTTATCTTAGCTTTATTCATTTTTCAGGGAAGAAGGAGCTTCCTGATTCTAAAGAGGTGTTTGAAAAAGTTCTTCTAAGAAGAAAGTTCATTCCTGACCCCCAAGGCACCAATATGATGTTTGCATTCTTTGCTCAGCATTTCACCCATCAATTTTTTAAGTCAGATAGGAATCGAGGGCCAGCTTTCACCACAGGACTGGGCCACGGGGTAAGACTGAGTTAAATCAGAACTGTAGCAGATAATAAATGCTAACATTTGTACCATACCAAATAATTTTATAATAATTTTATAAAATGTCTATAAAAACCTTAGTAGAGTTCTCCATTTTAATTTACTGGTTTAGTAAAAGTATTTATACAGACACAAAGATTCTTTTATTTGAAGTTTTTTGTTATATATTTTTAAACTTTAGCACTGAAAAATGTAATGTGAAACAAGAATTTTGTATCAATTCACTTTTCTAGGGTTTTGGGTTTTTTTTATTCAATTTTTTTCCCTGAAGGGCTAGGGATGGACCAAGGATCTTATGCATACTAGTGGGCAGGCACTCTACACTGAGTTAACAGCCCCAGCCCTCACTTTTTAATGTTATCTTTAGAAATATCATGATTTTAGTGAAGTATATAAAATTCTTAAGCTCAGTATGGGTACTATACACCTTTAAACACAAGACATAGGGGCTTGTAGATTCAGTGGGTAAACAAATTTTAATATTGTGGTTATAAAAAATTTGCTGTATTGAAATTTTAAAGAGAATTAAATGATCAAATTATTTAATGATAAATTATATAAAAATCATAAGATTGTTCAACAGCAGCAAGTTGAAAATATTCCATAATTTTCTAGGTGGACCTAAGTCATGTTTATGGTGAAACTCTGGATAGACAACATAAGCTGCGCCTCTTCAAGGATGGAAAACTGAAATATCAGGTATGCCCTTTGACTACTAAAAATCAGTTATGACTCTTTACTTACACTAGTGATAAAAAACGTTCATTAACGTTCATTAAACGTTTATTCCTGTTTGCAGGTGATTGGTGGAGAGGTGTATCCTCCCACAGTCAAAGACACTCAGGTGGAGATGATCTACCCCCCTCACATCCCTGAACACCTTCGGTTTGCTGTGGGGCAGGAGGTCTTTGGTCTTGTGCCTGGTCTGATGATGTATGCCACAATCTGGCTACGGGAACATAACAGAGTGTGCGATGTGCTTAAACAGGAACATCCAGAGTGGGATGATGAGCGGTTGTTCCAGACGAGCAGACTAATATTAATAGGTGAGAAAACCCTCATCCCCAAAGTAAATAGTTCATTGGTACCTTTGCTGTGGGGGCAGTAGTAACTCCAAAGGAATGTTGTAAATGAAAAAAATATAACACCATTAATTTGGTCTATAAGCATGATCGTTAATATAACTACCTTTGATTTGATATTAATTTTAAAAAGAAATAAAGAATAGCAAATTAACAATTGCATGTTAGTTGTTTGAAAGCTTGTTATCAGAAAGCATTAAGATTTTTAATTCTATGTCTTGTGCAAATAGGGGAGACCATTAAAATTGTGATTGAAGACTACGTCCAGCACTTGAGCGGGTATCACTTCAAACTCAAGTTTGACCCAGAGCTGCTTTTCAACCAACAATTCCAGTACCAAAACCGTATTGCTTCTGAGTTTAACACACTTTATCACTGGCATCCCCTTCTGCCTGACACCTTTCAAATTCATGACCAGGAGTACAACTATCAACAGTTTCTCTACAACAACTCCATATTACTGGAACATGGACTTACCCAGTTCGTTGAGTCATTCACCAGACAAATTGCTGGCAGGGTAAGCATTACTGAAACAGACTGGCCAGTGACTTTAGAATTTCTGACACTGAAATTAGTTTTGTTGAAGTTAGTAAAGCAAAAATCAATTATTTTACTACGAAAATTATTCTCTTAAAATAAGAAGCCTAAATTTTCTTTGATATCTAAAGCTTTAGTGCACATTGTCAAGAAAATAATAATACATACCCATACCTTAATATTTTTAAACCTTATATAAATCTTACAGATTATAGAAAAATACATTGAAGACTTGAATATCAGCTTCATTTGTATAACTTTAAAAGGCAAATTAGTTCTAGACCACTGTCAATTTGAATCTTGAGCACAGCTGCTGTTACAATGTATATAAGCAGGCTGGGGACATTGCTCAGTGCTTGCCTCCCATGCACAAGGCCCTGGGTTCAATCCTCAGCACCATAAAAGAACAAACAACAAAGTATATGTAAGAATTTTTCCAAGAGATAAAAATAGTTTACTTCTCTTATCTACTCTGAACCTAAAGCAAAAGGAGTAAATATGCCTAAAAATGTTTTGACAATTTAATTCATTTTGCACAGGTTTCTGGAGGCAGGAATGTGCCATCTGCAGTACAAACAGTGGCCAAGGCCTCAATTGACCACAGCAGAAATATGAAATACCAGTCTTTCAACGAGTACCGCAAACGCTTTAACCTGAAGCCTTACAAATCATTTGAAGAACTTACAGGTATACAATTTTCTAGACTCTTAAAAGAATCAAGGGTCTATGGAAACAACAGGGGAGTTGAAAGCAAACTGAAGGGATGAAATTCTTTTGTTAAAGTTTTACATTGGATATATTTCTGTCTTCTTCACCTTCCCAGGAGAAAAGGAAATGGCCGCAGAGTTGGAAGCCCTCTATGGTGACATTGATGCCATGGAGTTCTATCCTGCCCTCCTGGTGGAAAAGCCTCGTCCTGACGCCATCTTTGGTGAGACCATGGTGGAAATTGGAGCACCATTCTCCTTGAAAGGACTTTTGGGTAATCCTATATGTTCTCCTCACTATTGGAAGCCAAGCACTTTTGGAGGAGAAGTGGGCTTTAAGATCATTAACACTGCCTCAATTCAGTCCCTCATCTGCCGTAACGTGAAGGGCTGTCCCTTGGTCTCATTCAGTGTTCAGGATCCACTGCTCACCAAGACAGTCACCATCAATGCAAGTGCTTCTCACTCCAGACTAGAAGACATCAATCCCACAGTACTACTGAAAGGGCGTGCAACAGAACTGTAGAAGTCTATTGATCATATTTATTTATTTATGGACCACACCTTTTAACTTAATTATTTAATATTTATATTAAACGCCTTATGTTACTTTCCATCTTCTGTAACAGAAGGCGGCAGTACTCTTATTAGAGAGGAAGGGGTCACACTTGTGGAAATTATTGTCACTACTTTTAAAGATCATTTTCTTCCACTTAAGGGGGAAAAACAGTTCATTCTTTTCTTTAGAAAACAATGGGAAGTGACTTTTGACATGTTTTTACTTGAATTTCAGTGTATAGTATGTTTTAATAAGAACAAATGCCAAGGTATTTGAACATTCAAATACTTACAAGATGGAAATGCTGCAGTTTCTACACTGCCATTATTTTTAATCTGCCTTTTATGCTGCAATAGGGCAACTAGGGTTGGAATTTTAAAGGACTTGGGTATTAATCTGTCATCAAACAAGGGTACAAGATATTTAAATGAATGTCTAAAGCAGACACTACCAGTAATTTCATGTCTTTTTAAAGCAGCCTTGAAATAATAATTTGAATCTAAATCCATGGGTAGAATCAATTTTAACAGCTCATTTGCTAAAGTTGTCAAACTCTTTACTCATATCAATAAAAGAAGCAATCAGATTTAAATCTCCAAAACCAGTAGAAATTATAATTACTGGTTAAAATATTAGAGATTTTTGCTTTTTCACTAGGAGAAAAAAATCCAACATGACTGTTACAACCGCCTTTTAAATCAAAATATCAAATTTGGGGGTTTTCACTAGTGAGTGCAAATTTATTTATAATGTGACTGTTACAACTTCATTTTAAATCAAAATACTATTTATTAAGTTGGTTTCCATAGACCCTTGATTCTTTTAGAGTCCAGTTCCATCTTAAAGATTTTAGAATTTGTTTTTATGAACAATAACATGCTGAATTTAGGACTTGGGAGGGTGAGGCAGAAGGATCTAGGTGAAACAGCAATTTAGTGAGACTTGTGTCACAAAAGATAAAAAGGGATTTTTTTTCCTGGTAGCTACTTTGTTAAAATCAGTGTCACTCAGTGGTTGAGTATCCCTGGGTTCAATCACCAGTAACACAACAAATAAATTGATTAAATTTAATAACCAATAAAAAGGAAGAAAAGTAAATTCAAATTCTAATGTATTAGCCCCATCAAAATCCTCTTCAAAACGTTTAAATCCATTTCACACAAATCTCAATAAGCCTTGGACATTTGAATCAAAACCAGCCCTGCATTGCTGCTCCTTAGATTTTTTTTTTCCTGGTAGCTACTTTGTTAAAATCAGTTTTTCTTCTATTTTTGTTTTCCTCGTTTTAAGAGCTCTTCTATCTTTGAACTCTAATATTGTCTTGAACTTTTGCACATTTCAGGAAAACCTCAGCTCAGGACTACTACTTAGCTCCTCTTAGTAGGAATAAAAGAAAAGAGCCTTGTTTTTAAAAATACATTTACTTAAGTGAACAGCAGAAAATTTTATTTAACTTTAACCATCTATAATCAAGAACCTACAAAGAGGCTAGAACCTCAGAATTGTAAGGCATTCTCCACAGGAAGACAAGTTACTTTTCTGTACTAATGAATGTCCAAAAAACTAGTAAGTAGTTGAGCATTAATAGTAAGAATAATAATGATTAATAATAATGATTTCCACATCTCATTGTCAGCTGACATTTTATGGTACTGTATATTTATTGAGGATTATTATTTATGTTTAATTAGGATGTTATTGTTATAGATTTTTTTTTATTATGTCAGAATCAATATATTGTGATTACCTCTCTGAAATATGTAAATGATTGGGATTAAGTAAGATTTGTGAATAAATTTTCAGGAACCTAATTCTGAGATGTTAAAATATTTAAGATTAGAATTTCGACTTTTGATTTCCATATGCACCAGAGCACGGACAACATTGCCTCATTGACTGGGATATGCCATAGAGATAGGTCTTTTATATATTTGGACCTGTGGCTGCTTCATTCAATCAATTATTTATTGAAAATGTTCTGTGCAAAGAACAATGGTTTTAGTATTTTGAAATCAAGCACCAATTACAGACAGCATCAATATTCGTAAATAACTGAAAAAAATGTGTCTCAGGAAAGAAAGAAATGTTATTAAAGGAATAACTCAGGAAAATTTTCTTTGGGATTTTTTATGCTTAACATTTTGAAGATAGTCATCTTCGAAAAGCTTATAAACTGCTAACTTCTGGGGGTTTTTTGTGGGTTTTTTTGGGGGGGAGGGACAAACCAACTTGATTGTTACAAACAACCTGCTGACTATACCTGAAAATTAAGGTTGTGAATGTTTCAGTGCCTTAGACAAATGTAAATTAACTTATGTAAAACATGTCTTGACAAACAACAGTTTATTTTTGTACTATTTAAAAAATAGAAAATCTCTTTTGAAAATAAATGTTGACTGTTGCATTATCTTTGTGGCCCATGATTTCTCTGAAGCCTGATCCTTACACATTGTCTTGTGTTTTATTTATTGGAAAATAGGCTGGCCCTCAATGAAATGGTTCTTCCCTCAGTCATGTAGAGGCTCCTAGAGTCATCATTTATTGTTTATTAATTGAAAACCTGTGTTGAAATGGGCTTTGTGCTGTTGGAGAAAGCAACAAGCTTGTTTTCATTTCCTCTAGAAGAAAACAGAAGCCACAAAAGGCAAAGAATAAGACAAATGTTACTAAGGAGATAACAAAATAAAAAGGAAGTTCAGGAAGGAAGAGATTGCTCAATATGGCCAAACATCCATACCTTACACCGTGGCTTCCTTTGCACTCCTACTTTTAAAGTCTTGGTGGTTTCAATGTCTAGATGGACCACACGGTTAATATCTTTCCTGGCCCTTCTTCCCCAGCCTCCTCCATTCTACCTGACATCTAAGTCACCAATTTCACTGAGACCTTCGGATCCATCAACCTTTTTTTTTTTTTTGGTCCCAGGGATCGAACCCAGGGGTACTTAACCACTGAACCATATCCCCAGTGGTTTTTTTCTTCTTTTTATTTATTCATTCCAATTTGTTATACAAAACAGCAGAATGCATTTCAATTCATAGTACACACAGAGCACAATTTTTCATGTCTCTGGTTGTTCACAAAGTAGACATGTACCCTAAGTACCTAAGTACCCTAAGACATGTAACCTAAGTGTCTTCATACATGTACTTAGGGTAATGATGACCATCTCATCTCACCATCTTACCTACCCCCATGCCTCCTCCCTTCCCCCACAGCTTCTTATATTTTATTTTGAGACAGGTTGTTATTGAGTTGCTTAGGGCCTCACTAAGTTGCTGAGGCTGGCTTTGAACTTGTGATCTTCCTGCCCTGCCACCAGAGCTGCTGGGATTACAGGTTTTTGCCACCACGTCCAGCTCCAAATATCTACTTCTTTATGGATTTTTTTTTTTCTTGGCTTCATGGTATGATGCTCTCCTGGTCTTTCTCCACTTCAAAGAGTATTGCTGCTCAGCCATGTTTTTGTTTGGTTGGTTTTGTTTTATGCTCAAACTCTACTACAAATTGAAGTGCCTGGCTCCCTTTCTACTCTGCATTCTTCCAGATTAATCACATCCAATCTCATAATTTGAAACAATAATCAATTCCATATTCAAGACTCCAGGATCAACATCTAACTGTTCATTGACAGCCTCTCCACTTGAATTCATAAATTTAATAGCTTATTTTACTTCTCTGCCTTCCCAGACCATATGCCCTAAAATAATAATTATCCAAAATTGAAGACACTACCATCTCCTAGTTTTTAAGCAAAAAACTTTCTTCACTCCCATGGCCAATCCAGCAGCAGTAACAATCCTGTTGACTACAATCTACAAACAAATCCTAAATTTATCACCTTTTTCTTCAGTTCCATGCTATCAACCTAGTTAGTTCATAGTCTCTTAATCAGTTCTCCCTCTTCTATTCTCTGTTCAAATTATTCCTTTTAGCAGTGGGATTATTCTTCTGGGGTGTTTTGGTTTCTGTTCTTGTTTTTCATGGTACTGGGGATAGAATCCAGAGGCACTCTACCACTGAGCTACATCCTGGCCCTTATTATTTTTTATTTTGACACAGCATCTCACTAAGTTGCTGAGGCTATCCTCAAACATGCAATCCTCCTGCCTCAGCTTCCAGTGTCATTGGGATTATAAGCTTGCACCACCGAAGAGTAATCATTTTTAAACAGAAATGAGGGGCTGGGGATGTGGTTCAAGCGGTAGCATGCTTGCCTGGCATGTGTGCGGCCCGGGTTCGATCCTCAGCACCACATACAAAGATGTTGTGTCCGCCGAAAACTAAAAAAATGAATAAAAAATAAATAAATAAATAAACAGAAATCAGATCATGGCTTCTCTATGTTTAAAATCTTCCAGTGGTTTCCCACTACATAAAGGCTAAACTTCTTGTCCTACCATAGGAGAACCTGTCTATCTCCTGTCTACATATCTGATCCCATCTACTTTGATCCCCTACCTGCCTTAGTTTATCTCTGTTGCTATAATAGATTTTCTGAGACTGGGTCATATGGCTGTTGGCTCTGGAGGCTGAGAAGTCCAAAACCATGTCACTGGCATTTGTCTGGCTCCTGGTCAGGGCCTCACACTGCACCAACCCATGATGGAAAGCAGAAGGGCAAGTGGGCTTGTGCAAAGAGAGGGGGTGTCCCAATACCAGACTCAATCTTAGAGGAGGTCTGCATTAATCCCCTCACAAAGTTTGAGGCCCATGATCCAAAAACCTCTTAAAAGGCCCCACTGTCTCTCACTACCATTATATTGGCAAGTAAATTTCAACACAAGTGTTGGTGAAGAGACAGCATCTCCACGCCCCAGGACCACCTTGTTCCTTACTCTTGTCACATTGCCTTTCTTGTGATTTGCTCACTATCACTCATTCTCAAGATGTGGCCTCTACCTAGAAACTGGTTTTCCTGCCTATTTTTACCTCGCTGTGTTATTCTCAGTATTGAAATCTCAGGTCAAAGTTCCTCTTCAATCACCCAAACTAAAGCAACTATGAAGTCCGCCTCCTCTTCATACCATTTATTTCTATCTGATACTCCTTGTTTGTAATTACTTTCTCTACCTCCTCCCTGGAGTTTTATGTTCGTGAAAGCAAGGACCTTACCTGTGTTATTCACTTTTATCTGGCTAAAATAACTCAGATGTATTATCTGGATAGAGTCTTAGATGTCCGTGCCTGACATTTAAAAGACATTTGGAAATAACATAATTGATGGATAAGAATGGCTTCAAGAAAGCAATAGAATATGTGGTGACTCTTGAAGAAAGAGTAAGATCTTAGAAAGCAGAGATAGCTACTCTGGGAAAATTTGGCAGTTTCTTTTACAACTAAAATTGTATTGCCATAAATGTTTTGCTATTCTCCTATTGCTATTAACAAAGTATCTCACATTTTCTGGCTAAAAGAACTCAGATGTATTATCTGGAGTCCTGAATGTCAGAAGTAAGAAGAAGGTCATATGAGCTAAAGCCAGGTTATCAGCAGGGCTGACACAGGAGGGCCCTTTCCTCTAAAAGCTCTAGAGGAGCTTCTTGTCTTTTCCAGCTTCTAGAGGTTTCATTCATTCCCTGGATCACAGTCCCTTTCTCCATGTTCTAAGCCAACAGGGCAGCATCTTCTAATATCTCTTGCCTCACTCTCACTAGGACCCTTCTGATTATCCTGGGCTCAGGCAGATAATCCAAGAAAATCTCCCTGCCATGAAAGGGTTTTCATGTTGAGAGATAAAGGCATGGGTATCTTATATTGCTCACCACACCATACAATCATGTTTGAATTTTGGGGCCAATTATCTTAGAATTATACTCTTGGGCATTCACCCTTGAAAAGTAAAAACTTATATTCATGCAAAAACTGGTACATGTATGTCCATGAGTACCCAAATCGGGAAACAACCAAATAGGAGAGGGAGGGAGAGAGAAGAAAGAAAGAGCCAGAGAGAAAGGGGAGGGGGAAGAAAAAGGTACTAAGCAAAAAGAAGTTTTTAAAAATTACATAGTCGTAGTAGTGCAAGCATGTAATCCCAGTGACTTGGAAGGCTAAGGCATGAGGATCAAGAAGATCAAAGCCAGCCTCAGCCACTTAGAGAGATGCTATCTCAAACAAAAAAATAAAAAGGGCTGGGGATGTGTCTCCATGGTTAAGCACCCTTGGGATCAATCACTGCCCCCCACCCAAGAAAAATTATATACTGTGAGAGTCCACTATACAATGTTTTTGAAATCAGATTATATGGGTAGAAAAAATATTAGTGTTGCCAGATTAGGGATGGGGGATAAGTATCTACAAAGGAGTAGCATGATGGCGCCTTGTGCTGTAGAACAGTTCTGTATCATGCTAGAGGTGGTAACTACACACAGCTGCATGTATGACCTAGTGACTGAGGACCACACACTCACAACGCGTGTATAAATATTAAGACCTGAGTAAGCTTTATGGATGGTACCAAAGTCAGTTTCCTGGTTTTGATACGTGATACGGTACTATATGTAAGATGTCAACATTAGGGGAGGTGCTCTGAAATCTGCACGGTTCCTCTCTACATATTTTTTTTTTTTTGCAACTTCCTGTGAATTAGTTATTTCAAAATAAAACTGTAAAAACAAAAGAGCGAGAGAAAGAGATGCAAGGTCCTCTTTGAGGGAGAACGGGGGTTTGTGCAGTATGCTTTCTTTAACTCAACACACATACAAATTAATGCAAGATAGTCTATGATCAGATCTACGAGAGAGAGAGAGAGAGAGAGAGAGAGAGAGAGAGAGAGAGAGAGACTCAAACTTTAAAGCTTCTAGAAAAAAAATTGAAAGAATATCTTCATTAATCTGGAGTTGGCAAAGAATTTTAGATAGGACTTGGAAAGTGTTGGCAATAAAAGAAAGCAGTAATTAAGTGGGTGCTATGCTTTGGATATGGTTTGAGTGTCCCCCAAAGGTTCATGGGCTGAAGGCTTGCTTCCCGGTGGCAGTACTGGAAAATGGTGTGGACCTTGGGGATGACTAAAGAGAGGTCCTGAGGTCACTGAGGATGCTGCCCTCAGAAAGGATTAGAATATTTCTAATGGGGCCCTTTGGTAGTCCTTGGAGAGGGTTGTAGGCTTTATTCACTTTCTCTCAAGCTTCTCACCATCTTCCAATGAGGCCCTCACTATAGCTTTCACCATGCTGTTTGGACTTCGAGCCTCCAAAACTTTGAGGTAAATAAACCTCTTTCCTTTTGATTGAAATTTTTTGGGGGACGGGGGTGGTGCTGGGGATTGAACCCAGGGCTTTGTGCATGTGAGGCAAGCACTCTACCAACTGAGCTATACCCTTAGCTCATAAAACCTCTTTCCTTTATAACATTAGCTTGTGTCAGGTATTTTACTGAGGTAATGAAAAAATATGCAAATATAATTAA